CTCCTTACCACTAAGCAACATGAGCTCCTTTTTTATTTTGTTAGGTGCCCTCAAGTTGGTTCCAACTCATTTTGATCCCATGTACAACAGAACAAAACATTGCCATGTCCTGACCATCTCCGCAATAAATATTGTGCAGCTACTAATAAATATTAAGGCAGCTACTCTTGTCAATGCATCTCATTGTGGATTTTTTTTCACCTGCTTTCTACTTTAACAAGGCTGATATATTTCTACAGGGATCGGCCCCTCTTGAAATCATGCCCAAACTAAGGATTAAGAAACTAAAGCCCAGCTAATCTAAGGAACAGCTCCAGGACTATCTATGACTGTGCAGGTTATTCATTGTTGTTGTTGGTGTTGTTATGTGCTGTCGAGTCACCTAAGACTCATAGCAATCCTATGTACAACAGCCCTAAACCCTGCTCTATCCTATGCCAATGACATTGCCTCTGACACACCCATCCCGATTACCCCAGTCACTGAATCAATCCACCTCATAGAGCATCTTCCCCCCTTGTGTCATCCCTCTACCATCCCAAGTATGATGTCCCTCTCCAAGGACTTGTCCCTCCTTACAACATGCCCAAAGTATGTCAGACGAAGCCTCAAGCCTCCAAGGAGCAGCCTGGTTTAACCCTCTTCAGGATTCATCTGTTTGTTTTCTTGGCAGTCCATGGTACAGTCAATACTCTTCTCTAGCACCACAGCTCAAAGGCATCAATTCTCTTTCTATCCTTCCTAGTCATTGTCCAACTCCTTGATGCATATCTCCAAATAAAATAGAGACCCTCTGAAGTTGTGTAGTTGACAAGTTTTTGTTGAAAAGTGGCAAGGGGATGATTCCTAAAAGAGGTGGTGGGGCCTGTTTGAGTAAGAACCAGAAAGTTCTGACTAGGATATATAAGAAAGACATCAATACCAATTGAGAGGAAGAGAAAGAAACTTAGGTTTATTAGATGTTCATAACAGACTATGAACGGGTCAGGACAGAATGATCCCATCTTTATCCTACAAAAGGGTTTATATATTCTTTTCCAGAGAAGAGTGGGGTTTACATAGCTGATCATGCATTTCTTCTAATAGATATATGGTGGGTTTTGGCCATTTTATTTGTCATTTCCTTGAGTCTGTTTTTTGTCATATTGCCTCATTCTTTGAGAGTTGGTTTCTATAGTTATATTGCCATAGTCTTTGTTAAAACCAGTTCTGAACAATCTCCTTTGTAAGAGTTTTCTTTGACATTCCCTGTCAGTTGACATTGTTGTTGATAAGTGCTGTCAAGGCAAATATGACTCATAGTGAGCCTATGAACCCTGTCCTATCCTGTGCCATCCTCATCATCTCTGACAAACTTGAGCCTATTACTGTGGTAATCTATCTCATTGAGTCTTCCACTCTATTACTGACCCTCCACATTTCCAAGCATTATATCTCTCTCCAAGTACTGGACTCTCCTAGCAACATGCCCAAATTATGTGAGATGAAGCTTCAGCATCCTTGCCTCCAAGGAGCACTCTGGTTACACATTCTCCAAGACATATCTGTTTGCTCTTTTGGCATTTTGTGAGATATTTAGCATTCTTATCCAACATCATAGTTCAAAAGCATCAAGTCTCCTGTCATCCTTTTTCACTGTCCAACTCTTACTTAGATGCATAGCAGCTGAATGGAAAGCCTATGGGTTAAATCAGGCACACCACAGGTTTAGACTGACATCATGCTCTTCAGGACTTGGGAGAGGTTTTTGACTGCAGATTTTCCCAATGCTATATGTCTCCAGATCTCCAGACTGTTAGTACCAAAGTTGTTAACTGTGGATCCAAACAAAATGAAGTTCTTGACAATTCAACGTTTTCTCCATCTATCATAATGTTGTCCATTGTCCCAGTGATGAGGAGTTTTGTTTTCTTGACATTGAGATTAAATCTATATTAAAGGTTGCCATCCTTGATTCTCTGCAGCAAGCACTTCAAGACCTCCTCAATTTCATCAAGCAAAGTTGTGTCATCTGCATAACATTGATGAGTTGTTGAGTCTTCCTATAATCTTGACGTTATACTCTTCTTTATAAAGTCCATCTTCTCAAACTATTTGCTCAGCATACAAATTAAATAGGTATGGAGAAAGGATGCAGCTCTGACACAAACTTTTCCTGGTATAAACTATGCAGTGTTTCCTTGCTCTGTTCGGACGACAGCTTCTTAGTCTAGGCATAGGTTTCCATTCATTATTCCTTACAATATCCCCCTTACATGAATAGGCAGACACTGGCCATATAATAAAAGACTAGCAAGATGTGCAATGATTTTTCAATATTGTTTTATTCAAAACCCATACTAACAATAAAATAACATATATTGAGTATTTATACCAGGCCCAGTGCTAAGAACATATATAAACATCTCATTAAATCTTCTCAATGATATCATGTTGTTGTTGTTGTTGTTGTTGTTGGGTACCATAGAGTTGAGCATGACTCATAGAGAGCCTATGAGCAAAAGGTCTGAACCTAGTCCTGTCCTGTGCCATCCTCACACTTCCTGATACACAAGACCCCATTGCAGCAGTCATCATGGTCTTTCTCCAAGGAATAGTACCTCCTAGCAACACGTCCAAAGTATGTGAGATGAAGCCTCATTCTTGCCTCCGAAGAGCACTCTAGCTGCACCCTCTCCAAGACATAGCTGTTCGTTGTCTTGGCTGTCCATGAGATGTTCACTGCTCTTCTCCAACACCCCAGCTCAAAGGTGTCAATTCTTTTTCTGTCATCCTTACTCATTGTACAGCTCTCAGATGCATAGCAAGTAATCAGAAAGACTATGGCCTAAATAAGATGCAGTCCTGACATCACGACTCCTCAATAATTTGGAAAGCGTTCTTAACAGCAGATTTTCCCAATGCAATGCATCTCCTTATTTCCTGACTGCTCATACCAAGGTGTAAATTGTGGATCCTAGCAAGGTTAAGTCATTGACAGTCTCAATCTCCTCTCCATCCATCATGACACTGCCTATTGGTCCAGTATTAAGAACATTCATTTTCCTGACATTGAGATGCAATCCATACTGAAGGCTGCATTCCTTGATCTTCTGCAACAAGTGATTCAAGCCCTCCTCACTTTCAGCAAACAAGGTTGTGTCATCTGCATAATGCAGGTTATTGATGAGTCTCTCTCCAATCCTGATTCTTCACTCCTCCTCATATACTCCAGCATCTCAGATAATTTACTCAGTACACAGACCAAATAGGTATGGAGAATACAACCCTGATGCACTTCCTTCCCAATTCCAAACCATGCAGTGTTCCCCTGCTCCATTCACATAACAACCTCCTGATCCAGGTATAGGTTCCTCATGAGCACAATCAAGTGCCCTGGGATTCCCATCCTTCTCAGTGTCAGCCACAACTTGTCAGGATCCACACAGCCAAGTGCCTTTGCATAGTTAGTTAATAAAGCACAAATAGATATTTTTCTGGTATTTTTTTATTTTTAGCCAGTATCCATTTGACATCAGCAATGATATCCCTGGTGCCACAGTCTCTTATAAATCCAGCTTGAACTTCTGGCAGTTCCTTATCTATGTACTGTTCCCACTGCTTTTGAATGAGCTTCAGCAGTATTTTGCTTGCATGTGATGTCAATCATATTGTTCGATAATTTCCACATTCAGTCGGATCACCTTTCTTGAGAATGGGAACAAATATGAACCTCTTCCAATCCATTGGCCACATAGCTGTCCTCATAAATTTCCTGTATCCTAGGCTGCATCTGTTAATTGAAACAAGTCAATTGGTATCCCATAAATTCCTGGGGCCTTATTTTTTGCCAGTGCCTTTAATGCAGCTTCTACTTCCTCCTTCATCACCATTGACTCCTGTTCATACAGTACTTCCTCAAATTTTACAGGTGTCAATCAATTCTTTCTGGTACAGTGGCTATGTGTATTCCAACTTCTTTTGATGCATTTCGGGTCATTCAACATATTGTCCATAACATCTTTCAATATTGCAACATAAGGCTTAAAATTGCTTTTCAGTTCTTTTACCTTGAGAAATGCAGAGCAAATTCTTCCCTTTTAATTCTCCAATTTCAGCTCTCTGCACATACTATTATAATATTTTCCTTTGTCCTCCCAAACTGCCCTTTGAAATCATTTGTTCAACTTTCACTTCAACATGTTTTCCTTTAGATTTGGCTTCTCAATGCCCCAATGTAATCTTTAGGGTCTCTTCTGACATCCATTTTGATTTTTTCTTTCTCCTCTGTTTCTGTAATGACCTTTTGCTTTCTGTATGGATAATATCCTTGATACCATCCCACAGCTCACCTGGTGTTCAATGCCTCAAACCTATTCTTAAGATGATAATGAAATTCAGATGAAATTTATTAAAATAAGTCTGCAGGAACCAAAATATGATATCATGACAGAATAATTTTATTTCCATTTTACAAGTGAGGACACCACAGTCAAGGTTGACTGTAACCTGACCTCAGCTAGTAAAAGGAATCACTAGAGGAGTTTTTTTTTTAAAAAAATAAAATTTTAATTGTGATTTTAATGATCGTTTACAGAAAAGTTAGACTTTCATTCATTGATTGTGGCAAGTTTTACCTCCTCTCTCTCCTTTCTACATCTCGCAGCTCAGTTAAAAAAAAAATTAATTCAATACTATGCCCGAGAGAGGAGCCGCCCATACTGCTGCCACTGCTTCAGCCCTGCAGGACCTGGGCCAGCCCGCAGGGGAATGAGTGGGGCGAGGAGGTGCATTGTGCAGGAACCAGGTCTTGACATAGCCCCAGCCTGCACTGGCCTCAGGGCGCCAGGCATAAAGCGAAGGCAGAAGCCACAAAGAGCCCAACTGAAACAAAGTGTCCACTGCCCAGTGGGGCCATCCTTCCCAGGACCCAGACCCATGTCCTCCCTTCCTCTCTGCCCGGGGCCACCTGCCCACTGGCCAGCAGCCCACCATGACTTTCTCACCATAACTTTCCCACCATGACTTTTAAGGAGCTGTACAAGGTTGAAAGGATTCTTGACAAAAGGAAAGACAAGAAAGGCAAGGCGAAATACCTGGTATGGTGGAAAGGCTATGACAGCAAGGACAACATGTGGGAGCCAGAACAACATGTTGTCAACTATGAGGAGCATATCCACAATTTCAACAGGCGCCAAATGGAGAAGCAAAAGGAGAACATCTTAACTAGGACAAACAGGACCTCTACAAACAATGCTCAGAAGCAGATTTCCAGATGTTGACAGCTTCCATTTGCTTGGCTTTACAATCAACTCTCTTGGTACCAGAAGCCAGGAAATTAAACAACGAATTGCATTGGGAAAGTCTGCTCTCAGAGACCTCTCCAAAGTACTGAAGAACAACAATGTCAGTCTGGAGATTAAGGTGTGGCATGGCTTTGCCATTACTTGCTATGCATCAGAGAGCTGGACAATGTCTAGGGATGATAGAAGGAAAGTTGATACCTTTGAGCTGTGGTGCTGGAGAAAAGTACTGAATATACCATGGACTGCTAGGAGAACAAACACGTTTATCCGGGAGAGGGTGAAGCCAGACAAGGATTCTGAAGCTCCTCTGTCTGACATACTTTAGATATGTTGCAAGGTGGGATCAGTCCTCAGAGAGGGACATCATGCTTGGGAGGGTGGAGGGAAGTGCAAGAGAGGAAGACCCTCTATGAAGTGGATTAATTCAGTCACTGGGGTAATAGGGATAGGCGTGTAAGAGACAATAAGACTGGCAAAGGATAGAGTAGGTTTTAGGGCTGTTGTACATAGGGTCGCTATGAGTCACAGGCCAGAAGAGAACAGCCTTTTTTTTTTTTTTAAATTTTTGAGTGCGTGTACCGTCAAATCAGATCTGATTGGTACAGGAGGAGATTGTCCCTCCTTCCCCGGCAGAGCATCTGGTGGATTCGAACCGTGCACCTCTGGGATTGTAGTTGCAGCTCCTTGCCACTAGGCCACCAGAGCTCCCCTGAGACCAGCCTTTTGACAAGGCTTTTGTTTCCATGTGAGGCAAAGAGAAAGTGCCTACAGATAGAGAGATTGTCATCAGCAAGCAGGATGGTTTCACCCACATCTTGTCATCAGCAAAATCATCAGAGAATAATGCACTGAATCCAGAGGTAATGAAGGAGGTCCAGAGTGTGCTGAACACAGCTGCTGCTGATGACAGCAAGCTCATGCTGCCCAGTGCTGCGGGCAGTGTCTTTTGCTGCAGTCTCACATTTATTTATTTTATACGGTGCTTAAGAAATGATCGAAAAAGAGAAAAGAACTAAGATGGCAGAAGCTATCAGAAAGTCTGGGAATAGTTTTATACAGCTTAAGAAGCCTATCATTGTAGCAGTAAATGGCCCAGCCATTGGACTAGGCACTACAATATTGCCTTTGTGATATGGTCTGGGCCAACTAGAAAAACTGGTTTCAGACACCTTATACCACCTCTGGACAGAGCCCAGATTGCTGTTCCACAGTTATGTTTCCCAAGGTCATGGGAGGAGCATCAGCGAATGAAATGTTGCTCAGTGGGCAGAAGCAGACTGCGCAAGAGCCATGTGGTACAAGACTGGTCTCACAGGTGTTTTGGCCGGGGACGTTTACACAGGAAATGATGGTTCAAATCAAAGAACTTGCCTCATGTAAAATAGTCCAGTTGTGCTGGAGGAATCCAAGGCCCTCATGCGCTGTAACAGGAAGATGGAGCTGGAGCAGGCAAACGAGAGGAAATGTGAAGTACTGATGAAAATCTAGGCCTCAGCCCAAGGGACGACTCCATGCTGAAGTACCTACACAGGAAAATCGATGAATTCTGACTGTCAGAGTGTCTGCTAAATGACACTGGAACTGTCTGTCGCAGGAGCTCTGTGATGCCAAGTCGTCCACTCCACCATCATAGCCTGGAATACGTTTACCCATAGCTCATGCTTGCATCCAGGACTGTAAAATGCCAAGCTATTTATTACGAAGGAGTTTTTAAGTCCTACAGGATAGAGCAGGGTTTAGGGCTGTTGTACAGAGGATCGCTATGAGTCCCAAACAACTCGACGGCACATAACAACAACAACAACAACAACAAGAACAACAACATTATAATAAATAACTACAAAGCTAAAAAAAATATTCATTGTTGCACAAATACTGACCTCTCCCCCTCTAAGTCCTCTTTGCAATGATATACCTCTTATTCTGGGCTGATTTAATACATATAACCATATATTCCGTTTATTTTTTTAATTGAGATTTTAATGAAAATTTATAGAGAACTTGATTTCCGTTCATTCATTATTGCACATTTTCTTCCCTGTGCACCCCCACCAGTTCACTATTCTCCTTGAAGAAAAAAATTATTTCATTGTTATACAATCCCCCCACGGTCCACTTCACTATGCTGTTGTTGTTGTTGTTATGTGCCATCGAGTCGCTTGCGACTCATAGTGACCCTATGTACAATAGCCCTAAACCCTGCTCTATCCTGTGCCAATCACACTGCCTCTGACACTCCCATCCTGATTATCCCAGTCACTGAATCAATCCACCTCATAGACGGTCTTCCCCTCTATCACCGTCCCTCCACCCTCCCAAGCATGACGTCCCTCTCCAAGGACCTGTCCCTTCTTACATGTCCAAAATATGCCAGACGAAGCCCCAGAATCCTTGTCTCCAAGGAGCAGCCTGATTTAACCCTCTCCAGGATGAATCTGTTTGTTTTCCTAGTTGTCCTTGGTACACACAATAATCATATCAAAAACCACAGCTCAAAGGCAATTTTCCTTCTATCCTCCCTAGTCGTTGTCCAACTCTCTGATGCATAACAAGTGATAGCAAAGTCCATGGCCTGTATCAGACAGACCTTAGTCTCCAAAGTGACACCATTGCTCTTCCGTACCCTGGAGAGGTCCGTAACAGCAGACTTTCTCATCGCAATATGTTTTTTTTATTTCCTGCCTACTGGTACCAAGAGTGTTGACCCTGCAGCGAAGCAAACTAAAGTTGTCAACAATCTCAAGCTCTTCACCATCCATCCTGATGGGGCCAATTGGTCCAGTGATGAGAATCTTTGTCTTCTTGACATTGAGCCTCAATCCATACTGAAGGCTGCAACCTTGAACCTCTACAACAAGCATTTCAGGTCCTCCTCAGTTTCAGCAAGCAGGGTTGTGTCATCTGCATAATGCAGATTGCTAATAGATCTTCCACCAATCCTAACGCCACACTTCCCCTCATAGAGCCCAGCCTCTCAGATGATCTGCTCTGCATACAGGTTGAAAAGGTATGGAGATAGGACGCATCCCTAGCGTACACCCTTCCCGATTTTGAACCATGCAGTGTTACCTTGCTCTGTTCTGATGAATGCCTCTTGGTCCAAGTATAGGTTTCGCATTAGCACGATTAAATGTTCTGGGATTCCCATTTTTCTCAGAGTCAGCCACAGTTTGTTATGATCCACATAGTCAAATGCTTTTGCATAATCAATGAAACACAGACATTCTTCTGGTATTCCCTGCTTTCAGCTAAGATCCATCTAACATTAGCTATAATATCCCTAGTACCACGACCCCTTCTAAACCCAGCCTGGACTTCTGGCAGTTCTCTGCTGCTCTGCTGTTCCAGTTGTTTTTGGATAATCTTCAGTAAAATCTTGCTTGAATGTGAAATCAACGATATTGTTCTTTAATTTCCACACTCTGTTGGGTCAGCCTTCTTTGGAATGGGAACAAATATCGATCTCTTCCAGTCAGTTGGCCAAGTGGTTGTTCTCCAGATTTCTTGACACAACTTGGTGAGCACATCCAGGGCAGCATATGTAAGCTGAAATATGTCAACTGGTATACCATCTATTCCTGGGGCTGAATATAAAATTTAATATTAATAATAAACCAAATGCTATATATGAGGGAGGCTTAACAGAAGCTAGAACTCACGCTGTGGTACTAAGGCATTCCTAAAGAGTCAACATTGTTCTTAGTTTGGATTTACTGAATCCCTCCCTCCTAAGATAAGCGTAAAGTAAACAGTAGAGAGTAACTTGGCCTTATCTATAAAAGAGTTCCCCTTGATCCCTTGTTTTTGTTTTGTACTCCCTTATGATTTTCCTGTTTACCTTCCCTTTGATTCTCAATAAATACTCAGAGAGGCATGACTTGAGGCCTTCAGTCATGGGAACTGCTGGCCCCCTGTTTTTTATGCTCTCTGTTCTATCTCATTCTTGGTAGTCTGTCTTATTATTAATAATTATAAAAATACTTTACCCTTGGTCTGCAACACTTTACTATGCAGCTCTTATTCTGGACTGTTGTTATGCAAACAAAGCCTAATCATATGATCCTTTTAAGCAGTTCTTTCCCTCATCTGTTTCAATGCAATGTACATTATTTATCCCCTCTTTTCTTAGTTTCCCCTCAACTCTGATATCAGTCTTGTTTTATAGCAGTGGCACTATGCAATATTTGTCTTTTTTGCGACTGAGATATTTCACTCAGCATAATGTCCTCCAGGGTTACCCATTTTGTATAATATTTCATGAATTCCTTGTTTTATTCAGTGTTGCATAGTATTATGTTGTGTGAATATACCACAGCTTCTCTATCCATTTGTTTGCTGATAGACACGTTGGTTGTTTTCATCTCTTTGTTATTGTGAACAATGAACATGGGTGTGCACATATGTACTTGGGTGGCAGTTCTGGTTTCTTTAGGGTATATTCTCAGTAGTGGAATTGCTGGGTCAAATGGCATTTCTATTTCCAATTTTTTGAGAAAGCGCCATACTGCCTTCCAGAGTGGGTGAACAATTTTATACTGCCACCAACAGTGAGTAAGGGTTCCAGTTTCTCCACAACCTCGCCAGCATTTGTTATTTGCTGCTCTGTTGAATTTTGCTATTCTTACTGGGGTAAGATATCTCATAAATATTTTAATTTGCATCTCTCTTAGAGCTAAGAATTTTGAACATTTCTTCATGTGTTTTTATGCCATCTGAAGTGAAGTGTATGTTCATATCCTGTGCCCATTTTGCAGTTGGGTTGTATACCTTTATCTTGTTGTGGTGCTTGAGTATTCTATAAAGTCTAGATATAAATCCCTCATCAGACATGTCATTACCAAATATTCTTTCCCAGTCTATGGCTTCCCTTTTCACCCTATTGGAGGAGTTTTTGGATGTGCACAGAGATTTGATTCTTAGAAGGTTTCATTCATCTCTTTTAGCCTCTCCTGGTTGTAGGTTCATATATTCCTTTT